TTGATACCTACCCCTGTCAACCGAGTGATGTTCATGAAACCTTCAGTCATGGATCCAATCCAGAAGAATCGAGAAGACGCAAAACGGTTTTTGAGGCTAAAAGAAATGGTCGAGGACTATGGTCCCATTTCATAGGGTCATAGCCTCGAAGCGGGGATTTGATGTAGTCTTTTTTTATGGTATATCTAGCTTTTGCAAATTATATCTAACTGAATACTTAAGGCAGCTTGCTGGTGCTGGCAGGGGTGTGGTATATGTATGTTAAGAAATGCTTGCCCGCTGGGAAAGAAATGCCACGTAGGCAAGCCTAGACAAGTACGGACATGTTCTGTGGCTAAGGTAATATGCGCATGGGCTAAGAAAAGGCAGCCAATAGTAACGGTACAGCGTGTTAAGTGGGAGAAAGCTATATAAGGCTGAAGCAAGCCAAATGAGGTGGTGCTTGCTTTGCGAATGATCGCCAAGCACCCCTCTCTGCGCAGACTTGAAACAATAAAGATTAAGTTGGATCCTCCACCCCTGTGTGTTTATTGGCAAAAGCGCACCGGGCACAAACTCACACTGTCCTTTGGGGACAACAGCAGGACAATGCAGATCTGGGGTCACAGCTCCAGCCATAGGAGAGTCCCTGGGCGGCCTAAGGGGGACCAGGAAACTAAACTGGGTGTGAGCAGCCTCCGCCTGGTCTGCTTCTGGCAGGGAAAATGGGGAGAATGGGAAATGCTTGAACAGCGATGTGAACGGTATTGAGGGGCTAGCAGGGCAGAGATCAAACCCCGCAGTGGGAAGTCATCTGTATTTCTACAAGCTGTTGGGCAGGAGGCTCTGGACACTGACAACATGTTTGAGCTTGAGGAAGGGCAAAACCTGCAGGTCAGTGAAATCCTGACCAAGTGTGTGGAATTAGGGATGCCACAAGGGAAGGAGAAATGCATGTTTTAGCAGGTGCCTGCAACCGCCTGACGAAATCCTGGGGTTGAGGACATGCAGCCAGACCTGGGACTGTGGGGAGCTGGCAGAGTCCCTGGGCAGAGACTGAATAACCTGTGGCAGTGAAGGCTGGCAGCGCCCTGGTCCCCGTGCAGGCGCCTGGGGTGACGCTGGCCCTGCCCCGGCGGGAGAGGAGAACCGCACGGTTCCTCTCAGGGGGGACGCACCAGGCTCCCCGCAGGCGCAGGGTCAGGTCTGGAGCAGCCCTTGGCATTGAAGAGCTTTGAAATGAAACATGAGAAATTAGATTCAATGGAGGGGAGAGCTGGATTATTTTTCTTTCTTTTTTTTCTTTTATATCTCTCCTCCCCTCCCCCCCGGAAAACTGAACACTTTCAGGTGAATCTGAGTTTTTAGGGTTGTTGTTTGTAGCCGTATTGGTTTAAGGACACAGGCAGGCAAGGTTTCTTTGGGTAGATGTGATATCTTTTATTGTACCAACTAAATAGGTGGGGAAAAGTTCTTTGCAGGCTTTTGGGTACAAACACCCTTGTTCAGGCGTCTGTGCAAACAATCCTACTGGAACGAGGTGGGAAGGACCGAGATGTCTTTGTCGTCAGATCCTTCTGCTTCAAACCAGCTGGAGCAGGGAAGCGGCTCCTCTGCTTTGGACACACAGAGCAGCTGAACCTTCTCCCATGTCATCGCGGCAGAAATGGCCCGAGGTTGTGTGTGAAGGGCTGTGGCTTGAAACCAGGAGACAACAGGCACGAGTTTCCCTTCAGTTGTTACAACCTTCCCTGGGAGCTGCCTGGGGACTCCTTGGGGCAGGGAGGGATTGTAGTGCTCTGATAGATGCTGGGTGCATCTACACGTGCACATTTACTGCGCAGTAACTGAAATAACTGCACAGTATGGCTGCGTGTCTACATGTGTGTCTATTTGGTCGAATCAAAGATATCAGATCTACCCACAGACACTTGTCTGCTCTGAGGTTTTAGGCAATTCTCACCCCAAATAACAGTCCTGACAGCTCTGAAAAGCTCTTGGCTGACAGCAGATGCAGTGAGAAATGCTGGGTGTGTTGAATTGTTGTGTAGTGGCTTCAAACCCTTTTTCTGCTGTTTTCACTGGAGTTGGGCCTAGCTGCTGCTCCACGAAGGGTTACCAGATCCCCCCTGATCCCAGGGCTGGATCTTGAGCCTGGCTCCTCCCAGCTCAGCATCAGTGCAGTTATTTCACAGGAAGGAAGCGGCCCAGGGTGAGCCCGGCCCTGAGCTCAGGAAAGTGACACTAGCCCCGTGCCCTCCCGTCTCACAGCCATGGCCGCGGCGAGCGCTGTACAAAGCCTCCGGGACGAGGCGACCTGCTCCGTCTGCCTGGAGTTGTTCAGGGACCCGGTGATGATCGTGGGCTGCGGGCACAACTTCTGCCGAGCCTGCATCGCCCAGTGCTGGGAGGGGGCCGAGACGGACGTCACCTGCCCCCAGTGCAGACAGACCTTTGCCCAGAGGCTCCTGGGCCCAAACAGGCAGCTGGCGAATGTAGAAGTGGTCAAGGGCCTGAGCGCGGGGTCAGCAGAGGGAGCTGGGGGCAAGATGGTGTGCGAGCAACACGGGGAGGCTCTGAAGCTCTTCTGCGAGACAGACCAGGTCCTGATGTGCATGATCTGCCGGGAGTCCCGGGCACACCGAGCTCACCCCACGGCTCCCATCCAGGAGGCTGCGCAGCAGTGCAAGGTACGGGCGCGCGGGCCCGGTCCGGCTGTGCAGCTGGGGGGGACGTACACCTCCCTGCGGCGCTGGGTCTTTCTGCCCCGCGGCCACGGGACAGACACCACCTGCCTGGGAAAATGACAGTAACTGGGACAACAGAGCGAGGAGGGCTGGTCTCCAGCTCCATCCCATAATAATAAGGACTACCACTTTAACACTATAATGGCCCAATTACTACACCCTTGTCATCAAATCCTTGCTTTGAAAGCAGATGAAGCAGGAACGCGGCTCCCCTGGCCCTGGACACGCAGAGCAGTGAACCTCCTCCAGTGTCACCAACCCACGGTTGTGTGCGGGGCTGTGTCTTGAAACAGGGGGTGTCCGGCACCGGTTTCCCTTCAGTTGTTACAACCCTCCCTGGGAGCTGCCTGGG